GAGGGATATCAAGCCACCCGATCCTTAACAACCAAAACCACCAGAACGGAGTACCACGTCGATTAGTCATGGGCTTGTCCGTTAGATTGAGTGGCGAGGAGTCTCCTAATTAACTTACGCTTTTGCATCCTAGGCTGTTTGGTGCATGTTGGACGACCACGGCGACCGGGAACGAACCCGCGACCTTGCGGTCAGCATCAGAGCTCCGTAGTCACTGATCCACTGTGGCAGGCAGCCCACGACTAATAAGGATGCTCGAAAGATTCGTTAACTTTACTGCTAACATATAAAACAAGTCTAACAGTTTCCGCGAAGTTCAAGCTTCCAAGAGCGGCGCGAAAACCCGCGAAAAGACAATACATCACATTAAACAAGTTCAGCTGAGACAATACGGATGTTAAAAAGTAAAAAAAACAAAACAAAACTGTTATTCTTTACCACGTAGCAGTTCTTCTGTAACGCCTTGCATATACTCAGCTTCGCAGTACGTTAGAAATGCCGGGTCAGTCCTCCTAAGTGCTGCCAATATTGCCTCTCTCCCCTCTAAAAAGCCCGGAAGATGGAACAGCTTCTTATCCAGCAGTCGCTTCAGCTCATCATCGGTAAGCTTCTGCACCAGATCGGCCACTTTTTTCAACTTTCTGCGAACATCTTTACGTGTGCACGGATAGGTGTGAACCTCGTCTGGAGTCCTGTCATCGCCATCGTCAGTGCTGCCCATCTTCGTGGCTTCAACGGCGAGCAGAAGCAGGGCGGCGCGAATTCCCCTGTGTCCACCCGTCGACAGTCACAGTTGGGCGAAATCTGTCGCTCGGCCGCCGTTGCACATATCGCACGCTGCCGCACACGCGCGAAACTGTCACAATGACGCTCTTTTCTCACGAGCAAGAACAGTGATTTCGAATGCTTCCGTGGCAGCGCAGGAGCGAGGTATAATACTGTGAATCACGGTCACACTATAAGAAAGTTGGTGCTGCTTCCAACTGTCAGTGTAAATCCACCGTTCTTCGGTGATAACAAGAGAGCAAAACGCACACGGCTGTACGGCGAGCGTGAGCTTGCAAATTCTATAATCGCGCCATTGCGTAAAAGACCGGCTACACGTATAGGGCAGCTGCTTTAAAGTGCCCCTACATAACGTCGGAAAATACAAAGATCGAGCGCGTAATCCATTCGCGGCGTTTCCTGTATTCTCGGCACAATACGTGACGCCTATACAGTCTGTTCACGTGACTTTTAAGATAATAAGCTATCAATTGGTCCTCATGCAAGGAATAATTCGTTGTGACTCGTCGACTCCAAGGCTTCGGCACGAAGTGGCACGACCACTCCTTGTCTCACATGACTGCAGTGCGTGAGCAACTGTTTTAACTTCGTTTTCCGCGTTTTCGACTGCGCAAGCGCAAATAAAAGCCAGAAACTTCGAAATCCTGTTAGGTTCCACATTTTGTATTGTCATTGTCCTCGTCTTTGTGAAGAAAAAATTGGGCGATTCTTAAGCTTCGCCATTAAGAATTGAACGCGATAGCGAAATACGGCCCCTAGTGCGCCCTTCAACCACCAAACGAATACTTAATAATTTTTTGTCACATACACACACACACACACAGTAGATCGCACTAGCGCGCACGCGAATGGTACATACAGGTTTTTGATCTAAAGCAAGAGTTGCATGGCCCCCAAGATACACGCCATGGACTCGCCATCTCGGAGGCAATAAAGAGTATCACAATGCCTCACAGATAGCTGCACATTATCTAGCGTTTGCTGTTTGCTTGATCAACACTTCTGGGAAGGCACGTGTTTTCCGCTAGATGGACATAGTTGTCGATTTTTAGAGCTGTTTGAAAGCTCATGTGTTTTTAGTGGCAATGGCTGCACTATCCCGGCCTTTTTCGATGTAGTTTGAGGCTTCCCAAATGCGCCTACAAATCGCCGAGTGGGCTCGTTTTCGTTGTGACACCTGTCGAACAAAGCGCATTAAAGGAACCCTGAAACACTTTTTAAGTAACCATGGAATGAATTCACTAGAAGAGCTTATTGCCACACGAATCAAACACCCCTAAAATTTTAGGAATCCGTCCAATGCGAGTGGAGTTACAATTGTTTGTCACATGCTGCAATTGTATTATTTCTTCTCTCGTTTCGAAGAAAGCGCTGAAGGCTAAGCAGGAAGGGGCGGCAGGGGCAAAGAAACTACTGCGCCTCGTGACCTAGAGCATTTTTTTCCCACTTAGAATGCGTGGCTTTTTCAGTGTGATCGCGAGCGCACGCGTAGACAAGAAGCGGCCTCCCGCGGCGATTTCTGTAACTTGCTTTGGCGCTCACGGAGGTACAGATGATTTTTCGCTCACAACTAACGGGGCCGACGCTGACGGCGGGATTTCTGCGACATGAGCTCTCTAACGCTATCGCGTCAAAACAGGTGGGGAGGAGCACAGGCATGTCCGGGGTTCCCCTTCAGGGGGGGGGGGGGGGGGGGAGGGATGGCTAAGGTTCGTTGCAGTGCTGCCCCGCTCTAGTATGTCAATGTGTTGGGCTGACCTCGCACCTTCCCTTTGACGATTCTTAATGTGACGCCATAAGGTGACGTCATTTGCATCGCCGCAGGAAAACGATGGCCAATTACCCCGCTTGATGAGACACGTGAATCCTTAATCAACACCGGCGGCAAGCTTGCGATAAGGAAGGCTGGTCGCTACCAGGTTCGCGTATGGTGTTTAACGTCCTAATGTCACTGGCGCTATCAGCCTTTTCAGGGGGCCTATGAGTGAGGGTCTTTCATATGCAAGAGCTGACATCGCAGAGTACGTAAGCTTGTAGAGCGGTTGCCGCTAAATTTAAACGTGCGTACAAAGGAAAGAAATTGAATGATAGTGCGCACGTTTCATTTAGCTGTAACCACTCGACATGCAAGATAACCAACTATAGCCCAGATGCAGGCCTTTCTACGAAAGCTTCTAGCATTTAGGCAGCATCGAAATGCGCCTGGTGGGGCCGGGATCAAACCCACGCTTTCCCGGGGTGCCGTCGAAAAAAAAGACGGCCAAGCTACTAAGGTGAATTTGGGCGCTATCATTTTTTTTGTTCCTTTCTGCGAACATGAATACTCCGGTAAGAAATTTACTTCCCTTAAAATAGATGATACGCAGTAAAGGTTGTTGCTGAGTGAGTTCATGCTTGAAAGGTAATAATGGGAGGTGCAAATAACACACTATGCCCATGGCCACAGTGTGATGGCCGGGCTCGCAACACAAAGGAAAAAAAAGCACAAGTGCGAACTCTTCTTTGATTTTATTTTTCATCGTTCACCAAGATATGCGCAATCATACGTAAGCACAAGCAAATACTATCACATTGTCACGATTGCAGGTAGTAGAAACCCCCCCCCTTTCCCCCAGCACACACACACACACCACACACACACACACACACACACACACACACACACACACACACACACACACACACACACACACACACACACACACACACACACACACACACACACACACACACACACACACACACACACACACACACACACACACACACACAAAACTGTACTCAACATTGAATAACGAAATGTATGTGTATCCGCAGCGTCTCATTAATTCATCAGACATTGTCCTAAACTCGTTCTCAAACGATGAAACGCTCCTCAATTCCGCACTCCGCAAGAATTAAGTTCTCAACACATTCAGAGAACGCTTGCCAGTGCAGAACACCAGGACACAGGATGGGGCCCGTAATCGTATAGACGAACATAACGAGCACGCCTTTGTACACACGGCAAAAACTGCATCTAATAGTAATAGTGTGCTCTCCTACCCTTTAGAGGGCGCTATAGAAAAGGTTTTTGTAATGACTCAGCACTGCGATATCATTTACATAATTTTCTACATAACAGTGTTCGGAGGATATACTACTTATAAAACTGAAGGGAACTCCACTATTGAATAAAACTTGCTTTTCTTCATACTTGTGCGGAGCGCCAAGCTGGGTTAGTGGAATGTCCATTCTTGAATGGTTGAACTGGGCTAGTGCAAACGAAAATAGAGAGAAAGAAAAAAGACAGCAAATACGCTGACTCACTACTAAACCTTTATTTAGAGAGGAATAGTATATATATAGCGAAAATTAAAAGACAGCATGAGCTCATTCACAGGAAAAATGGTCGCGTGAGCCTCCTAAAAACATTGGCTGCAGGCCTGAAGCAAGAGGTCAGTCGTTTTCATGGACGCTCCAACACGTGACCTGGACAATTTCGACTTGGATACTTGGATACTACTTGGATACATGGCTACTTCGACTTGGTATTCTTGGATACTATATACGTCGGCATGCATGCGCATACCATCTCGGCGACAGAAGCCAAAGCTACCCGTCAATCAAACTGTATCAGGATAGGACACCTGTCGGAGCGTTCGTGTTGAGCGAGCTGACGACTGTACCTCGGTATTCTTCAAGCTGACATTCTAAGGCGGTGTAAGAACAAAACACAAGCAAATGTAAATAACGCAAACATAAGAAGCGCACAGTAAAAGACGAACGAAATTGAAACATTCGACGCCGTAATGTGCTTTTAAGAAAATTTACTACATCATAATGACGAACATGCATTTTGTCCTTTAAAAATAATGGAGCCAGCTTAAAACATTAAAATATACATTTACAACTCAAAGAATGCATGTTCAGTGAAATGGAAAAGAAACTGTTGAAAAAAAAAAGCTTTCGCAACAAATCGGTTCACCACATTTAATGGTTTCAGCAGCGCAAACTCAATTGCGCTTTTGTTATTCCGAGGAGTATTACTCGGTTGGTCACACACATGCATACACACACATAAAAATTAATAAAAGTACCAGCTCTCATTTACGGAGCACATTGACCGAATAATGAGGCAATTCGAGTCAGGTCACTTTGGATAAGCAGCCCACTAAATGTATACGGATTGGTAAATATAAGCCTTGATACTTTCAAAGCATACGCATCGGTGGTCAAAGCACGTCTGTTCGAGGACAAATTGCCAACGTCACTCCTTTTGATTCGCTTGTATCTTCCTCACTGGTGAGTAAGTCTACGAGGCAGCGCATTTTCTCCGTCACTTCACACGTCAGCCCGTTACGTCCTGTCGGAGGGGTGGGCGGAACATCGCTCGGATTAAGGACGAACTGCAGCACGTACAAGACTCGCCAGAACGCCTCCGGGTAGTCTAGGTACTTGACGTAGTAGAGTACCAGGCACAGTACCAGTGCACGCTCCAGACTCCCACTGGTGATTTCGATGGTCTCCGCCGGGGTACCGGCGTTAATCCACAGGTGGCCACCCATCGTGTAGATACGGGGCGAATCGTCGGTGCGGTACTTGGGCACTGGTCCCTGCAAATGATATGCGCGTAACGCGGCAGTTACGAATTTCATGTAGCGTTGTGGACAGTGCAAATGAAACCAAGGAAAACTGCAACTCCCGGAAACCAAGTGGCCCCATTCAGAAGTGTGGCAGCTTGGGCTAGTTGGTATGGCATGATGATAGTTATAGCGTGAGAACAGAACGACGACACAGAGACAAGAAGGACACGAAGGACACGAGCGCTCGTGTCTTTCGTGTCCTTGTCTCTGTGTTGTCAACCTGTTCTCACGCGATAACTATCGTGGTCCCATTCCTTTAGAATAATTCTGCTGGTTCGAAGTCCCCCAACCACGATATGATTATCAGGAACACCATAGAGGAAGGCGCCGGAATTTTCGTCTACCGGGGCAACGTGTACTTTAATGTGAGCTCATGGGCTTCCGGCCCTCTGTCTCCAACATTATCGTTGACTAATTTAGGGACGGGAGGGGGGGGTCAAAAATTTTTCCCCAAAAGTTTTCGATTTTGCTTGCGTATTTTATACACGCACACATACAGACAACGCACACACAAACACACAATAATTGAACCCTCCCCACCATACGAAAAAAAAAAATTCTGGCTCCGCTTTTGGGCTCCATCGATATGCGGCTGCTACGGCCGGGACTCGATCCTGCGAACTTGGGCTCACCATTCGAGCACCGTATCCATGAGCCCAATGTGGCGGGTGATTGCATTCTTTCGAAACAAGCCATATTTCCTATTGTGATATGGGAACCGATTACAAAGAATATTCTTTCCGGCTATGAATTAACAGAGTAACTATTTTAGGGTTATCTTTATATCAATGGACTTCTTTACTTGAATGCCCACTTGATTAACCTTGCTTTTTCGACACCACTACAGCTACATCACGCCATCTCAGTTATGCGTTTAAGGAAGAAATATAAAGACAAGCAGCAAATTATACTTTTTATTAACTAACCAAAGCGTGCGTCTTTTGCAGTCAGCACTAAAACAGGCTAACACAAAATCCCCTGAACTACCTCTGGAAATGCAGAGAACGTGCGTGAAGGAAAGAAGTGTAAATCTAAAGGTTCGTTTTTTTTCGACTCAACATTGATGACACATCTGCTACATCACATTCATGTTGTGTCTAAAAAAATAACGTGCGCGTTAATCTCTCCTGGCGTTTCTCGGCTTTACGGCATTTCTGGTCACCCCAGCAGTCCATTCATGTGACGTCTTGAGGAAATAACTCTGGATTAGCTAGTAAAGTAGGAACAGCAGTTGCGAATAATCTCGTACCATACTTCGCCATTCACTCGCACGGCCCTGTCCGGCCTTGTTTCGCACCACTGTTGTCTGCGGTCGTCTGGCTCGGTGGAACAGTGGCTAGGGTGCTCGGCTGCCACCCCAGAGGCCGCAGGTTGATCTCAGTCGTGGTGGCCACATTTTGACGGAGGCGAAATGGTAGAGCCGGTGTACGATAATGCCAGTGCATGTTATAGAACGCCAGACGGCCAAGATTTCCGGTGCGCTTCACTACAGCGTCTCTCATAATACTATCTTAGTTTTCGGACGTAAAACCCCATATTATTATTATTATTATTATTATTATTATTATTATTATTATTATTATTATTATTATTGTTGTTGTTGTTGTGTGGTCAGCTGACTTCGTTTCATTTTATGCATTGTCGATAGAGAGATGAACGTAGCAGTGTGTACTCAGAGTCCTCACCGTCCTAGCACTTAGAGTGAATATGGGGGGGCATCCTTTGCAAGTGTACCCTCTTGAAATGTTGAACACGATAATTGAGTAGCTTGACAGCGAAACATCGCGCTCTGCTAAAAAACCAAGACGGCAATATGAAGCGCTTCCAAAGAGTAGACGCCAAGTACAAAAGTGAAACTTGCTTTTCGTTTCAAAAGGTACTGAGAGCGCTATATTCCTCGAATGCTTCAGGTTACTTCAGACGTATCAAAAATGTCGATACTGCTGCGCTTTAGAATGCAAAGTAAATAAATAATTTCGGACATCTACCGTTATTTGTGTCGATGATTTATTGCAAGCTGTTTACACTGTATTATGAATCCGATTATTTCACATAGCCACGTTCTGTTATTTTAAAAAGAAAGAATCACCAGTGAGCGTAAACATGCTTTCCGAGAATGTACCTAGCAGGTGTACAGGATGGGCCATTGAGCCGAGGTTAAAAAGCTGCACCTTTACGTGCCACAACAAAGTGTTTTCCTTGGATGTCCGAAAGGGTAAACACTTGAGCTGATTGGCGTATTTTCATTGTAAAAAAAGAACAGCTCGGTTATACAAGACAAAAACGAATATAGGAGAGAGCTCTGGCTGACAACATGAGCGTCTACTTCGCGGGAACACATATATAAGCCTTGGAAAGGGGCATGAGAAGGCAAATTAAGGAAAGCGAGACCAATCGCATGCGTCAGTACATGAAACTACGAAGTTTAATCCCGAAGATAATTTTCTTGTCGGCTAGTACGACAGACGGTGCGCCTAAGTATTCGGTCACACGAAATAAACGCTCATGTTGTTAGCCAGCGCTCTGCCCTCTTGTCGTTCTTCCGTCGTATAACCACGCTGTTTTGTACGATGACTTCATTGAATGATTCACTCCGAAAAGCTTATTAACTAGAAACATTCTAGATATTGGCAGTCCAGCGCTGTTGGATTAAGCTTCCTGGCCTCTAACCGAGACAGATGATAGTCTTAATTACAATTTAATTGGAAATTAGTAGCTCAATTTAAATACAAATACAATGAATCTAACGTGTACGTTGCCGAAAAATAAGATGGAAGCCTTCGCAAGACGTGTGTCTGCCCATGTACTCATTCTGGATTTACGAACCGGGTCCTCCCCGTGACTGTAAATAACTTTACCACGGGGCCGTGCTGGTGCTAGATATTACGATTATCGGGTTGTCTGCACCTAGCAGAAAGCCAAAGCTTCGAACACCGGTTCCCTTGTTCTAACGCGAAAGTGCTCTGAGAATTCACATTAGGCACTTTCATAATGACCGGAGATGTTTTTTTCTTCAGAAAGCAAGCAATTAGTGACACTCCTGTTTTTTCTGTTCTAAACACTTTCGTTGAAGCACTGCCAGTCTTACGAATATTCAGAAAACATCGAAAAAGCAAGAGTGGTAAGAGATTGACTGTTCTGATACAAGATACGTGTTATACTGGACACATCTGATATTCATACATACGTTTAAATACCATAAGGACAATGAACGGTCGTATAATTATTGAAATTTAGTGAAGTCTGCTTTCTTCGTGCTCAGCCATTTTCAAGTATGGTGTTGACTACAGAAACCTGATAGTTACAATGTTGTGGGTGAGCCGTTGAACGTCCCTGTTTCTACTGCCCCTGTCCCCCTGCGTTGGTTTCTAGACTGGGCGAATCATGGGCTCAATTTTTTTTTCCAAATTTTTGTAGCTTGTCTAGCATATCGCAATGTTTCATTCTCTTGTATCAGCACGTCATGGATTAGTATTTTGAGAACCTCTCGAGGGAATGCTCCTCGCACGTCAAGTTAAGACTCATCCCGAGCTGTCTTAGCTGACGTGTAGTAGTTCAGATTTAGCTGGAGCGCACTCCTATCCGCACTGGCTCGCATTGGCGCTAACAACAGAGGCGGCCTGCTGGAGGCGCTCTTCAATTTCTCCTGAGCTACCGCGATTAGTCCCTAATATGGGAAAGCGGTACACTTGTTTTCAAATTTTCATTCTAAACTTGTAATAACTATATTACTGAAATGTATTTCAAATGCGCCTAATCATACCGTTAGTAGTTGTCGGGTGCCCCAGAATGATTAAAAACGTAGAAAAACTTGTAGACAAACCTCAGTAACCAATGAAGGACTTGTGCCTTCTTCCAAGTATCGGCAAAGGTCTCTTAATGTCAGTTCTTCTAATGGAAATTCTTCGTTGTGTGCTTTCGAGAAGATCCTTAGCATCTTGCGGAGCTTCTCTTCCAGTTTTTCGATGTCGGAGCCAAATCGAATTTCAGCTTCCTTGAAGAGCTACATGCGAAACGAGCATACAAAATAATGATTTGCTTATTATTGCACGCCAAAGGTGGTGTCATGTCGGAAGTAAATGTTCATAACAGACAGTGATTATCCCCCAAATATAGTGATTATCCCCTAAATATAGGATTTTATGGAGAGGGTTCACAAACTATCTGAAGATATCATGAACACATTATAAATAACGCGTGCTACCTAGTTATAACGCAAAATATACATTAAAAATTACGGGACCCTAAAACTTCACCTTTATAAGCTAAACGCGATAGCTACATTATGTTTGTAGTGCGTATACTTAGTGCATAAAACCATTTAGAATTTCCTATGCACCCACTACGTAACCTTAAAAGAGTAGGCGCAGTAGCGTGTGTGCCTTTTGAGGAGGGGTATCGGCTTTCAATCATGGAATTATCATGATTATCAAATATTCTAACGCCCGTTGGCAATGGACGCTTGACCGCGTATTATTACTGCAATATTTCATGTTGCATTGTGACGCATATATACAGGACGGGTGTGTTTGTGAAGCATTAAAGCTACTTTCACTGCATTTCCAAGCAACAGAAGTCCTTTTCTCTGTTTCTTCAAGTGGAGGCGTGGCCGTGTCGTAGGACACCCGCTTGCCACGCGAACAACCCGAGTTCGATCCCCTCCACAGCTCCCCTAAGACTTCTGGTTCGGCCCCACTCTGCTCCAGGGTTTTTTTTATTCTATATTCATTTTATTTGCATGGTTCTCGATTTGTAGGTCACGCAGAAGTTGATTTTTCGCTCGCAACCAACGACGCCGACGCCGGACTGTCTGAGAAACGAGCTCTTTAACGCTTTCGCGTTAAAAAAATAAAAGGTGTCAGAACACAAAGGTATACAGGCTACCAAATTTAGAAGAACGCGTGCTTGCACCAGTTTGATCCGGTTGGGGTCAAGTCGAAATCACTGGATGCGAATTTCACCTCTGTATCGTGGTCGCGACCTCTGTCATCGGCCTCCCGAATAACGTGATTACTTGTTACGTCGAGCGCGTTCAATACGCACGCTTTCTCGCGAAGCTGATACGTGTATTCTGAGGGCTATAATCGAAAGCGCGAGTTGCCACGTATTTTTACGCAAACTTCGCGTCTCAAAAGAACAAATCAGATTTATCGTGTCGCGGATGGTCCGATATATTTACTGATGCCCGAAACATACAAAGTGGTTTGTGTTCGTTTCTTACTAACGCGTTAACACTGCGGCTAGCACCACTGAACAAGGCATCATTGGGAGCGTCTGCCTACTGATCCTCCATGAGAGGACACTCCTGAATTCCGCTTGGTGGCGTGACAGTCTATGAACATTGCGAATAGAGAACAGGCAGTGACACCGTAGGCTTTTATCATCTCTGACAGGTTCCCGTGGACACTTTCGTAAGTTATATAAATTTCAGTAACAGATTTGGGGCACATTTTGGGACCGCCTCTTCTACACCTTCACTTTGTAAGGTTTATTCCGAAACCATAAAACAATAAGTATTTGTTCGATTGATTGATTGATTGTGATTAGTTTATGGGAAGAGCCGACTGATGGGACGAACAAGCGTTATTCTCTTGTTAACAGCAATGATTGCTAATCGTTGATCGGAACGCAACTGAGCCTCCGCTGAAAGCCCGCTGGCGTAGACACAGACCTTGTCTTATAACGCCATCAGTACAGTAGTGGTGGTAGTAGTATGCTTTGTTACTTACAATCTCTTCATACAAGAAAAATTCAGGCAGAGGTGAGGCTGCTATTAGACGGCGCTGGTCATAAGTATCTTCGAGGATCTGTTTAAATTCCTCCATTTCCGACTCGGACCTGGTTTCGGCGATGTCAAGCCAAAGCTCCTGGAATGCGTGAAAACATGTACAAGAAAAGTCAGCAATGGCACAACGTCTTCAATTTGGGCATACCGGCATTGTCAGGACTCAGGACAGCTGACAGACAGAGAAGCTCACAAGTGTCTACATCCTACACAGGGAAGAGCGTAATAAACGGAATGGTAGCGGGAAAAACACACACCAAACAATACAAAAGTTCCCACTTTCACATAAATCCCAGTTCGAATCGTGCTGTATTAGACAGCTATACAAATTAATGTCCGCAGATTCATCCGGCTTATATAGTTCAGTGAACATTCGCTAATTAACGAGCATAGTGCCAAGCGCTCATATTCGAACACAAACAAGTCTCACTATTGGCCTCGAACACTAGCTGTCACGGTACGGGTACTATAAACGGTGCTAACAGAAGCCACTCAGCACGCGTTGTTCACTTCTGCTAAAAGAGCTTTGATGTGATCAAGGTAACTCGCTACCTTTAGATGCAGCATCAAGGAAACGCCGGAAAATAGTAGCCATCTCACACGATTTATTCTTCAAAGTCGCTGTCGATTGCTTACAAGATGAGGGCAAGCTCCGCCTTGTACAATTTTTGTTGTATAGAGCAGTGATACTGCTACTCCCGGTGGCACGGTAGTCGAAGGCACGCTATACCTGCAGCTAATCCTCCACCTTTATTGTTATTTCCCTGTTATCTGCACGTAGCAAGTGACAAAGCTTGCACTCGTTTCCTTGTTGCTGCAGAGTCGTGACAAGCCACCATGCTCGCCCATAGCAGTACGTGATCACTTGACAGTGCCAAGGAGGAAGTGCATAGTTGCACGATAAAATTAGGACACTGAGAAAAGACAATGACAACATGTATTTAGTGCTACAGTAATCGTAAATGAGTGGTAGGGTTTGTAAAGTTCTGCTTTTGCCTTTGTGGCTTTTTTTTCATCCGATCACATGGGGACAAGTCAGCCTATTCCTTCCATACTATATAGTTACCATATAGAGCTATTGCTTGGTTAAACGCATTCGTTTGGCTCAAAATAAGAGATTTGTTCTGTAAGCAACACATCCAGACTTTTCCGCCTTGTTCGATAAGCCACACAAACCTCGAGCTTCCTATAGATGGCGGGTCTTTCGGTTGAGGTGCTTTTCTTTTTTCCACCAGACTTTTTGAGGGAACTTCTGGTTGTCGGAAAGAGAATAAAGATTTCTCGTATTTACTAGTTATTTTCGACTACCGGCATTTGAAGATAGGACAGCCGTTTCTGGAAAGCATTGATAAAATTAGGTACCCTGAACAATTATTTTGAAAGCTTGTACTCCACGCGAGGCTTGAAACAGTGAAACTGGAGCCTTCTGAAAACTGATCTCCATACTTCTAGGTTTTGTTTAGGTCTTAAGAGGAAGGCGAAGGCTCTAGGCTTCTTCGCGGACTTAGCTAAGCTTTAGCCAGCTGCTGTTAGGTTGCTTCCTCGTTAATTATCAGTGCACAGAGGTTCGAGTTAACCCATTGCAAACGCTTATTTTTGATCACCTGTTAACTTTGACGCATACCATCTTCAGCCATAATTCCTCATTCTCGTAAGCCACTGCATGAACAATTCGCACAAATACTGTGTTAGTGTCTAGCGGATACAACGCTTCTGAAAAGAATAACGGAAGATAGCATAACAAATGCTGGTCTACTACCCATAAATTATTATTATTAATGCCATTGTCGGTACCCAGAAGTGTGCATGCAGCAGTTACCCAATGAGTGTTTAGAAAAGGCTCTGAAAGGCCGTTCTTCTAGCCTTCGTTCTGACAGTGCTGGGACTTCCACGCTGGCTTGGTATCCTTTATGTCATGGCTAGGCTGCCAGTCGTCAGACCCTCTTACCATCCCATACAGATAAAAATATGCTAGCTAGAGAGAGAGAGAGAGAGAGAGAGAGAGAGATAGAGAGAGAGAGAGAAAGAGAGAGAGAGAGAGAGAGAGAGAGAGAGAGAGAGAGAGAGAGAGAGAGAGAGAGACAGACAGACAGACAGAAACAGACATATTTTTAAATAACATTTTTACGTAACCGAATAGAATGTACACGTGCCATAATTTGCGTCCCGTATACCAACTTCTTACTTGAGAATTCATTTCAGCAGGCTCCTTTTTGGCATTGTTTTTAGGACCCTCGTTTGGCGCACCTGTGGTTAAAGAAAATGTCATTTTAAAGAATCTTCCTGACATATCGCACGAACAGGGAACGACAAGCAAATATAGGTTGTTGTGACGGCAGGTTGCAGTAAGAAATGAAACTAAATCTTGAAGAAATTCTTTAATTGCTTTTTCGTTGCGCACTCACAGCCTCTAGGGCATTTTCTAAGCTTTGTAGCGCTTGGTCTTTCAATTGGGGTGAAAAAAAAACAACTAAATATTTATGTGCGTGTATTAGTGATCCACAACTCCCAATAGCACTCTTGGCACTATCGATAGTTGAGAGACTATCGGACTATTGATGATACAAAAAATGTGGCTCATCCTTCTCTCTAGAAATAGGTAAAACAGGAAAGTGGAGCATGCCTTCGCAGAGGTAGTTGAGTGTTTGTTGAGCATCGTTTCACCACAAAGCTAAAGGAATGAATGCTACAGCGTCAAGTTACAAGGTCACGTGAGGAACTGCAAGTAGCAGCAGCCTGAGACTTGTAGCGTGCATCTCAAGAAGAAAACATTCGCGAAATGAGCATACACAAGACGAGCGCGCACTAACGACTGTCAAAGCTCAACACTTAAAACACTCCGTTAAAGACACGTCACGCGCGCGTCTTTAGCATTTTATCTTATTTCTTATTTGAACTCGTGGCTAACCTTGAGAAAAATCGCGCGATTGCGAGTGGGCTGGCATTCCTAGGCAGTCGCAGTAGCTATCGCAATAATATAGCGGGGACTAGGCGTAAAACACGCCGTGCGCCCGCTATCTTGGTGGTATTGACACGATGCCCAAATCAGCCGATGGCCGTGAATTTATGAGCTTAGAGTGGTCGCTTCAGTGCATGTTATCCTTTGTTGGGAGAAGAGGGGGCGATTTTTGTGCTGACATTGAGAATTGCAATTCGCAGGCTGCGTGCAACGTTATATTAGTGGGCTGACATTTCCTAGGAGACTTAAGCACCAGTCATTTGCCTTTTCTAACCATGCCAAAAAAAAAAAAATGTTTCAGGGATCTTTTAAGGCCCATGAAGCGCCACTGATAAGTGATCAGTTATTGTGCCGGTTTATTAAATGTACCCCTCATGATCTTTCAGTCTGTGTTCTCATTACACGATCAATGACCTTAATACTTCTTCTGACCTAATACGACCTTAATACGTCTCTGTACGTCTTCGATTCTAGATCTCGTCTTGTGCTCCTCAACTATAACTGACATTACCACCGATATTTGTGAGGAAATTTCAGATCATAAATTGGTATACTTTACGTCATTGCTCCCACGTCAATCCAACCCACCCCAATACAAACATATTACTATAAAGCAGTACACATCTGCAGATGATGTAAATATAACTAATTATCTCGAGGAAGCCATTGATTTGTTTGATGATAGTGATGACATCAATACATTATGGACAAAGTTTAAAGCGCACTGTAATTTCTGTATCCAGCATTTTATTCCAGATAAAGTGAAAAAAGTTGGCAGGACGAATCCGTGGATAAATAGAGAAATAATTCACGTGAAACGCAAATTAAAACGCTTGCGGAAATGTTCAAATGCTGCTCAAGCAGACATTTTTGATTTACAGGCTACATTAAAGTCCAAATTAGCTGCTTCTAGGGATCACTACTTTAATGTGACACTCAATCGTTTTGTATCCGAAAGTCCCTCTAAATTTTGGCAATTTTTATCAAATAAGGGTGGCACGAGGCTTGATCAAATCGCCAAGGGTGATCGGGTACTTACTGATCCAAGAGAAGTGGCGGAGGTGTTTAACGAGTATTTCCAAAGTGTGTTTTCAACGTCAGATCCTTTAAACGGGGCTGTTTGTGAAAATGGTGATTGTGGTGTCATTCAGATTTCTTTGGAAGGTGTCACAGAATTGCTTTTGCGATTGGATCCGAAAAAATCGACAGGCCCTGACGATATCCCTTCCGCATTTCTCAGACGCTATGCTACACTGTTAGCCAGGTTCCTTGTAGTCATTTTGCAGAAATCCGTTTCGTCTGGTGCGATACCTGATGATTGGCGTATTGCACGTGTGACTCCTGTGTATAAGAAGGGTAACCGTCTCAATTTTTGTAACTATCGGCCCATCTCTCTCACCTGTCATTGTTGTAAACTGCGGGAACATATTATCGCAAAATACCTCAATAACTTTCTTCAATGCCAAAATATTCTCACTGAGTACCAACACGGTTTCCGACGAGGTCTTTCTACTACTACGCAGTTATTAACTACAATTAATGAATTTGCGAAGGCCCTAGATGCTGGTAGCCAGGTTGACGTGATCTTTTTTGACCTCTCAAAGGCGTTCGACAAAGTTCCCCATAAAAAATTAAGAAATAAACTGAAGTCAATTGGCGTTCCTTCAGATATAACAAATTGGGTCACATCTTACCTACTAAACCGTAAACAATACGTAGAGATTGAGGGTTCGCGCTCGCGTTTTTTAGACGTTTTTTCCGGAGTACCGCAGGGGTCCGTACTCGGTCCTGTTTTATTTAACATTTATATTAATGATTTGGTTCAAGCAATAGATACCAGCGTATCAGTTAAACTGTTCGCAGACGACTGCATTCTTTCAAAGTCATAAACTCAATGGCAGATCAACAAGTTTTAAACAGAAACATCGGTAACTTGGAAACTTGGTGTTCCGAGTGGAACATGGTAATTAATCTAGAAAAAACTGCTCACTTGTGTATCACCAACAAAATCAACAAGTTTCACTTTAAATATGTTATAAAAGAGTCGCAGATTACACAAGTCGAAGAATATAAATATTTGGGTGTTACAATAACCTCAAGCCTCAACTGGACAACCCATATAGTAAATACATGCTCTTCCGCACGTAAAAAACTAGGGTTTCTAAAGCATCGATTAGCTAATGCCCCCAGTTCCCTAAAGCTTAAAGCTTACAATACAATGGTAAGGCCTTCCTTGGAGTACGCCTCCGTAGTATGGGACCCTCACATAAAAAGCAATATACAAAAGATAGAAAAATTTAGCGCCTAGCAGCCCGTTTTATTTACAGTAGGTATAGACGCCGCGATTGCCCCTCTGCGATGTTGCAGTTGGCAAATCTTGAACCTCTTGAGGACAGACGACGAGCTGCTCGACTTAACTTACTCCGTCTAATATATTTTTCTAAACTCGAAATAAAGCCAGACAACTACATGGTAAGGGATTCTTCCAGGCCTTCCCGTCACAAGCACAGCTGTAGCATCAAGCCAATTTTCGCAAGAACTAATTTATACAAACACTCTTTTTTCCCGAAATCAATCTCTGAGTGGAACTTGTTGCCCCGAAACTCTACTCTTCTTTCCTTCTCACCATAAAATGCGCCTTGTGTTTCCTGGCTTTCACAATACTTGTTTGATTTAACAACTTGTTGTGTGCCTAAGAGTGTGGTGCTTTGCTTATGGATTGTGTTGCAGTGGGTATACTCAGCCCTCTGGAAACGAGTATAATTTGATGGTGATTTCTATGTTTTTCTTACATTTCGTGTATACCAGTATCAATTTTGTTGTAACTTTGTTGTACCTTTATTTTACCTTCGAACTTGCTGTACCTTTCCTGCTTGGACCTTAAATGGTTCGCAGTATATGATAAATAAATAAAAATAAAATACGATGTGGCATTCCTTTTTTACCTTCGTGGCGCCCAGGTTCCCGCTTCAGAACTGGCGACCTGGAAACTGTATTCTGTCGTGCCACCATCGCACCAACCTTCCTTCCGGGATTCTCAGCAGGCTGGCCTCCAGGCTCAATCCAGGGTTTACTGTCTGTGGTGAGCATGCCAGTTCACATTAGCGTACCTCTGTTTGTAGTAAAGGGCCCATACAATTTCTTAACCTTGAAGCTCCGAGGATGTCTGCTAAGCTATAGGCACACTCGCTTACGGCCTTGGGTCAGAATATTCAATGCGTGGTTCATGGCCCGCATTGATGTGACCTACGTTAAAGTGAGACTGATCATTTATTGGGCATAATTACATGAGATTA